CCCCCCCCCCCCCCTCAAAATTAAATAAAAATACTAAAATAATTAAATCACGCAGAAAACTCGACAAAAAAATCAATAATCTGACTTTACTCTTTTCCACACTTCACAAATAATAATAATAAGTTTTCAAAATAATTAATAATAATAATAAGTTTTCAAAATAATTAACAATTATAATAATAAGTGAATAATTAAGTTTAGGCTAAGTACGTACTACCTCCGTCACTAAGCATTTGTTCGATTATAACTTTTTTCGGTCAACTGTTTTTTATCCTTTGACTTATAATTAATTAAAATGAAACTAAAGTAGGAAACTATTTTTAATATTACTTTCGCAAATTACACACATTTTAAAGCCAACAAAATTGATTTTTCTGTTGTATATATAATGCATATATACCACAATTTACCTACTATTTAAAAGGTTAATTTAAAATATATGAACATTATTATTAAAGATCTTTTTATTTTGGTTTAGTTTTTATAAGTAGTATCCATAAAATATGGTTTTAGCAAAAACAAAATAAATCACATCCCTAGAGTTCTAGCTCATGTTTAAAAATTACTTCCAAGAGTTCAAATTGAACTATAATTCTAGTTTTAACGAATAAGAAATGAGATTTGTCTTTGGTATGTATTCTTAATCATTGTTTTAAAGAACTGAATTCAAATATTTGGCGTTTTGTATGGTAAAATACACTTTTTTTGCAAAATTTAAAAATGGAGTACCCTATACCCTAAGCCTAAGGGTATACAAAATTGCTTTTTTTTATATATTGGGTCTCACGTTAATTAGATGATTAACAAATTCTTTTTCAAACAAGAATAAAACTTGGAAAAAAAAAAAAAGAGAGAGAGAGAGATATATATATATATATATATATATATATATATATATATATATATATATATATAGGAGAAAATAGGGTTGTTATTGAGCTCTTACTGTATCTCTGACCACAAGTGAAGGGGTGGCATTATGATTGCATAGATCCAAACACACCTCCATTCCTGAATTCCCACAGCCAATCACCAAAACCCTTTTATCCCTAAACACCTCTCCCTCTTTGTACAAACTTGTGTGCATTATGGTCCCGGAGAACGCCTCCATCCCGGCGATCTTCGGGATCACTGCTTCCGCGTTCTCCCCGGTGGCTGCGATCAGCCACCGGGAAACGTACTCTACTGTTTCCTGCTCGTCTTCTTTGCCCTTGGAGGTGGTGGTGTCCGTCGTGACCACCCTCCAGAACCCCGCAGCCCGGTCGTACCTGGCCGACCGGACCGTGCGGTTGAGGACCGGCCGTATTTCGAACCGGTCGGCGTACTCCCTGACGTACTCGAGGAACTGCTGCTTCGTCGGGTACGTCGGGAAGTCCTCCGGGAACGGCATGAGCGGGAGCTCGCAGAACTGCTTCGGGAGGTGGAGGCAGAGGCGGTCGTAAGTCTTGTGCCGCCAGAGAGACGCGACGCAGTCCGACCTCTCCAGCACCACACCCGGCGGCACGCCGCTTTCCTTCAGACAAGCGGCGGCCGCCAGCCCAGAGGGCCCCGCCCCGACGATGATCGGCCCCTCCACGCACTCGCACCTCGTCTTCTTCATCGTTGTACCATACCGGCGATCATGAGCTCTTTTCCCCTCTATCTCTCTCAAATACTCCATATATGTATGTATGTATGTATGTATATATCAAAACACCAAATCCCCACACAGAACTGAAGTGTCAGACCATCAAACCCATTGTGTTATCTTAATTTCGTCGAAACAAGAATCTGAGGTTTCTTGGGGATAAGTTTGAAACTCTATCCAGAAGATATGATTCCAGGAGAAATTAGGATAATATAGAGACAGAGAGAATGAGGGAAACCCAGAATTTTTCTGCGAGATTTTCTAGCGAAAACTGCGGGGAAGATACCGCATACGTAACCAGTAGGCTCCTTCAAGTTGGGGGGTGGGGTGCGTATGTAGGTGTCTATATATACATATATATATTTGAATGCATATTATCTATATTTATTGATTTATTTATTGATGTGGATGTGCTGATATTGATAAGACTGTTAACTATGTATATACTCGGGGTATATGTGTATGTGTTGTGAAAGTTGTCAGTGTTTTAAGTGTATAAATGGAATGGAAGTAAGGGTTATTGAAGAAGAGCAAAAAGAAGAAAAAAAAAAGAGCAATGTATTTTCACTAAGATCAAGA